GGGTCGCCCGTGTGACTAGCAGGGTGACCAGCCCAGAGGCCTGGCCTTGCCGTCCGACCCTGGGCGCTCCAGCACCCTTGAGCCAGCAGGGGGCCCACGCAGGAAAGAAGGCACCGTGGTCCTGGCGCCCAGCTTCACAGCTAATAACAGGTAAGGCTGTCCCCGAGGTGCCCAGGACAGCGCAGCGCCAGAGGGCGCGGCGGGGGCCGAAGCTATTGTGCTGGTGTCTTTTGGAGGATCGGCTGGGGGAGTGCTGCTGGGGGCTCTGCACTAGGGCAAAGGGGGAGGCGCAGGGTGGACCTGCGTGCCAGGGGCTCTGGGCGCGGTTAAGGACGTGCTCGGCAGGTCCCGGACGGAGGCTCGTCCTCCAGGCCTCTGCTTGCCTCGCTCCATGTGGCAGCCTTGCCGTCCAGGCCTGGTTTGGCTCTCGCAGGGTTCAGGCCCAGGAGGCGCAGGCAGGGCTGCGGCAACCTCTGTTGACTCATCGGGGTCTTGGCACTTCAAGGGGCCACGTGTCTGGGTGCCCTGTGCCGGGGGGGTGTCAGCCACGTTTCCCAAGGACCTGACAGACCAGTGTCTGGGAGCGATGGCCGGGCTGGCAGGCCTGGGGGCCCTGGCTGGGGCACAGTGGGGCCAGGAGGGGCCTGATAGGCTCGGGGTGCCGCCTTGGGCCCTGGGGGAACCCTGTCCTTGCTCTCAGCCTCGCTGGGACCGGGGCAGCACGAGAAGAGCCTCCCTGCACGGCAGCCGTTGTCAGGGTCCTCGGGAGCACTCACGTCCCTCAGGGTTGGCACAGGGAGGGTTCTGGCTGCCTTTTGATTTTTTTCTTCAGTCTTTTGCCATTGGGCATGTACACCTGCTGGAGAGAGACAGAGGGAACGTGCAAGATCACCCCCAGGGTGGCCACCCCGTCCCTCCGTTCTCCTCTGGGGATTTTGAGCATTCTCACACGCGTGCTGGGACTGGCACTCGGACCGTGAAGTCGGCCACGTGGGACCCTGCACGGCCTGCTGGCCCGTCTGGCCCGTTTTTAACGGGAGGTGGGGAGAAGTATGTCGGCGGTTTCACCGTGTGACAACCTGCACGCGCCAGCGCCTGGATCCTGGGGTTCCCGGCAAGTGGGCACGCCGCTGTGGGGTTGGAAGCCAGACCAGGCCTCTGGGACTGCGCAAGCCTTGCTTGCGGGTCCAGGCCCTGGGCCTCACGTGTGAGGTGAGAGTTGAGGTTCCAGAAACTGGTCTCTAGCTTGGAATAGGGCGTGTGTGCTCACTGGAGACGGAGGGAGGGAGAGTGAGAGCGCACCCCAGGGGACGGCCATGCTGCGTCCCTTCTCCATCCTCGGGAATTGGGGGCACACATGCATACACGTGCCCACATGTGCCCAGTGTTTTTCTGGCTGCTGGGTCTGGGACTCCAACCGCATGCTCAAGTGTGTAGGATACAGCTGTGTTAACCACCTGGCCAGCCCTTAAACATGAATCTTAAAGTTTACTCCGTGAGTGAGAGGGGCAGAAGCAGCCCGTGTCTCCCACAGCATCCTCGCACCAGGGCCCGCCCGCCTCAGCTGGCACTGGGTCACACACACGTGCCCGCCTGCCCGGGGAGGCCCCTGGCCTGACCCGCCTTCCCACATGGGGTCTCGCAGAGTTGCCCCACGGCTGGCTACCATCTGGCCCCTTTAAGGCTGTTGGCACAGTAGCACGTGGTGACCGCCACCTGGCTCCATAGGCCAGAAGGGAGAAGAGCAG